TCTAGTTACGTTAATACTATTATATCTAAAAGGTTAGATGATATATTTATCTCTTTTGATTTTATAGTAGATTTTTTATATTATGAAATTTTAAGGTACTTTATTTATAAATCTGATCATAAAATAGTTACTGCATTTTACCAATCTTATAATAAAACAAGAAGCTTATGCAAGATAAAATAAAACAAAATAAAGAAAATTTAATTTTATCATAATAACTCAATCTAGATGAAATATTTTTATAATAGCTACTAATAAGAAATTTTATTAATATCATATAGACAAGCTCATCCTTTTGTTTTTCTTTATATTTAATATAAATTAAATATAAAAGAAATTGCAAATTGTTATTATAATCATTTATAATTAAAAATATTTTTTACAAAATTATTAAAAATTTTGAATTTGTAAAAGATATTAGTAATTTTTATAAAAATAATATGTAAAACATTTCATATAATATTTTAAAATAAATATAAAACAATATTTTATATATTTTATTATAAAAAAAAAATCATTTCATAGAGTTTTTACTTTATTTTATATAAAGATTATAAACTACCAAGGGAACAAAAATATTGCATAATCAAAATTTATCTGACTTAATAAATTGTTAATATATAATTGGCCATGTGATTTTTATACCATATTTGCTATATATTTCTTAAATAGATTATTTGTTTATTGTTTTAATTTAATATGTTAAAAATTGCAAAAATCTGATTTGAAAATCTCTACTATTTTTTACTTTGCATATACGATAGATCTCGCTAAAAAATTAACTCTTATACAAAAAGGAGGTATTATTGCAGCTAAAAAATTAGGCTACAACAATACTGAGATTGCAAAAGCTATAGAATAATTGTTATAAGATGTCTTACAGCTTATAAATCAGAAATACCTTCTAAAAAATAACCAGGTTGATCCTGCTTAATCAATAGCCAAAAAAGGCAAAGATTGAAGGCAATGGTTCTCAAAAATAAAGAACTAAAATGAAAAATTCTAGTAGAAATTACTAATATATTTTCTGCTAAATTAATAAGCCAGTCTTTATAAAAATAATTTGTCGTATATTTTACAAAGAAAATGTGACATTTCTGTATTTCTCAAAAGAAGTCTCTCATCTCAGCAATTAACAAAAACAAATGACTTGCATGGGTAATAGAAAGAAGATATTGGACTGTAAAAGACTAGAAAAAGATAGTCTGAACAGATGAATCAACATTTTCACAGTTTCAAAAAACTGAATGGAGAAGAGTGTAAAGAAAACTAGAAGAAAAATTTAATGAAAATTGCATTGCATCAACAGTAAAACATTCTCCTCAAAGAATGTTTTAAAAATATTTTTTCCTTTTAAAATTAGGTCTCATTATTTCACTTGAAGGTTCAGTAACTGAAAATGTATACAAAAAGGTACTTTTCACTTATGTGGTTCTCATACTCAAAGCATTTTTCTGAAAAACCAAAAAAAAATTTATTTTTCAGAAAGACAATGTACCAGTTCACACATCGAAGGTTACATAAGAGTTTCTGCATTCTTAAAATATAAAGGTGCTTCTATGGCCTACTTAAAGTCCTGATTTCAATCTTATTGAGAACTTGTAAATTGTAGTTAAGGTGAAAATTCAAAAATACAACCCTCAGCTATTAATCATTCGTGAACTTGAAAAGGTGGCAAAAGAGATTTGGGAAGTGATATTATAAAAAGTGTATCATAACTTAGTGTGATTAATGCTAAATAGAATTTAGGTAGTAATTGATGCTAAAGAAGAATATACTAAATATTGATGTATTATTTGTGAATATAAAAAAAAACTGACTGCTATCCTAATAAAGAAAAATTTTATTGCTAAAATAAAACTGTGCAATATTTTTGTTCCCCCTTAGTATATTCTTTATTAAAAAAAAATATATTTAAAAAAAAACTTATTCTAATATTATTATTTTAAACATAAAAATATAAATCAAATTATGATAATATTTTATATTATATTTTGCTTAATGATTAAATATACACTACCTTATCAAAAGTATTCAGTCAAGCTTTTTTTTGATTATTTAAGGTTAGATATATTAATTAATATAAATTTTTTTCTAAAATAAATATTTCAGTTCTGACGATTAAAATTTATTTATTTGTTTTCATTATGATATACATATTAAATTTAGCAATAAAATAAAAATAATGATCAATTTTATATAATGATAATCTTTAACTTTTCTTACTACACTATTGAAATATATATTTATATTATAAAGTATGTTAAAAATTAGATTATACAGAAAAAGATTAAGATTCTTTTAGATTTAACCTTTTCAATTTTTAGATCTTAATCCTATTAAATATTTATGATATAAATTAGAATAGAGACTTTAAAAATGATTGAAATATTCAAAAGATTTATATGAACTTGAAAAAAGTATTGCAAGAAGAATGAAAAAAATTTATCTGAAGCTTATATTAATTTAATTGAAAGCATATCATATTAGATAGAAGCATATATTAAAAGTCAAGAATAGCCAACTAAATATTAAAAATTTATAATATTTATAATAAAATATAAATTTAAATTGATTGACTAAATACTTTTGATAGGATAATATAATAATAATACATGTATGTAAATTTATAGATATCTTTTAGTATAATGAATATAATAAATTATATAATTAAGATAATTATTTTATTTACTCTAAATAGATATCAAAAGATAAAATAAAAAATAGAAATAATTATTCAGTTATAATAAGTAAATTGTTTAAATTAAATTTCATGTTATTATAAATTAAATTAAAATCTAATTGATAAGGATACTTATTATATAAATGTATTTCAAAACTTATTACAGAAAAAAAATTTTTTGTTAAAATAGATCAAATTATATTATTTGCTTATGTTAAAAAATAAGTAAGATAATTATAGATAAATATATTTTAATATATTTAGCAATTTTGAATTTATTAAAGTTATTAGTATTGATCAATAAGTAGGATTTTTTACAATTAAAAATTTTATTTTAAATTTTAAATAGAGAAAATATTTAATAATAACTTTGAAATTTATTTTTTTTTTCTTAATATTAGAATTTATATTTATTATATTGGTATATTTAAATAAATAAATTTATAATAAAATAATATTTATTATTATAAAATATATAAAAATAAAAAAATAAAAAAAAATAAAAAAAAATTCATTAACTAGAGAAACTTGTAATGGCTTAATAACCTAGATAAATGATAAAAAGTGTTGGCAAGAGTTAGTCATAGTATGTGCATATACAGAATGTATGAAAATTGGTATCTAAATTTTACGACAATATAAGTCCTTAACCCTTAAAGCATGCATAGGGCAAGATACCTCCTATGACTAACTACTCGATACGAATATTGACTGTGAGTTGTATCATTAAAACCGTCTAAAGACAGCGCATTCTCACCTTAAAAAAATAAATTCTTCAAGAATAATAACTGCAAGATATAAGAAGCATTAAAATACACTAAAAATATAACATCGACCTCTTCCTGAATCACTCTTTTTGAGGCTGCATATAAGGCTAATACCTCCAAGCCGCTACAAGAAAATAAAGAAAAAAAAAAGGAAATAAAATTAACAAAAATCAAATACCTTACTATATACCGTTTTCGACAAAATCTTTGCGCTTATGTGTTTAATAAAATAAAGATATCACTAAAACATTATATTTTAATTTTTATCCATGTCGAAATATTTGTCTGTTAGTCGTGGGAAAAAGGTAATCTTTCTGGGGACACGTCGACGTAATATATAAATATGGCAAAATCATGTGATCATATAATTGAGAAATTTTCCAAGAAAAAAAAAAAAATACGGAATTTTTAGGCCAACGGGATATTTTTTATTATAAAAATATTAGTTAAATAAATTTTATTCATTATGTCAAAGCCATAGAAAAACTGACACAAGTAAATTTAAAAAAGAAAATAATACGTTTTTGTTGGGTTGGATTGTAAGGAAAGATTTTATATTATTAAAAAAGCATTATAAGTTTGGAATAATGAAAAAAAATTTTATATAGCCGGTAAATTTTATAAGATTCCGGACTCTTGGCCGGTAAAATTGGATTTCTATTTTAAGCACTTTATACAAGTTTCTGGTTCTAATAACTTTAATTAAGTAAAGGTAAAATTTTTTGTATTGTGCAACCACGTGATCGCGAAAGTTCCAAACTTTTTGAACTAGACCATATTAACCGAAAGGAAAACGCAAATGAATATGTGAAGTACTCTAGATTTCAAAGCAAAATCGAGACAAAATCAAAAAATAACGACTAATAAAATAAAATAAAAAGTTTACATCGAACACATAAAATACATATATATAAATAAAAATAAAAATAAAATTCTAAGCTAAAAAAATAAACACGGATGAAGTGTCCAAACAGGAAATATTTTAATTGCAAAAAAAGAAAGACGAAACAGCCAACATCATATTAGCGTAGCAATTCATAAACACCCTAGTGAAAATTTTTTAAAAATGATTTGTTTTAATTTTTTTTTTTAAATGTGCCAGTCAAGACGACATAAAAGAAGGAGAGGTGGCCAATTAAAAACGGAGAGGAAAGGGTAACCATAATCAATGGTTGCGAGGAGGATCAAGATCCATTTGTTCGGGTCACTGATTATGGGGATAAAAGTGTTTCAATAAAAATGCCTGGTGGATCAATATCCATTGGCTCTGACCACCTAAGATGACGATAATGAATAAAGGGGCGGTTAAAAACGGGGGGTAAAAGAATTAGAAGAGGAAGAAGAAACGGAGGAAGTTAAATGGGATGAATAAGAAGGAGGAGAACGATAAGAAAAGGGTTAGGAAGAGGAATAGAAGAGGATGCGGGAATAGGAGAAGGTAAAGGAGAAGAAGAAAAGTTTGGATAATATCATTCGTCAAATTTATGAAAAATTGTCAAAAAAAGTTGCAAAATAATTCACAATGTAAACTTAAAATATCGTATATTACATTAAACTACAATTACTAGTTTCGCTTTTTGTTTCATTTCCAACATCAAAATTTGCATCACAATCTGGGCATTGAATTTGCATTTCCATTTCCATTTGCACTTCATCGACCATACACTAAAAAATTTTATAAAATATTAAAAAACACTATAGTCCCGTAATTCAAAAAATTATATTATAATTTAAATTACTTACCGGATGACCATTAGGACATTCATATATATGTCCTGATTAAACGATGAAAAAAAAAAAAAATAAATAAATACAAAGAATGTTTTTTAATACAAATTATTCATACGTAATATCTTAAACATACCTGAACTTATAAATTCATTTTGAATTAAACGATAAATCTCTAACTTTCCTTTAATACTTGAAGTTTCAACTTTATTACAAGTTTCCAATATTTTCTCTAATCTGATATCGATAACGCTTTTAAATGTCCCCTTCGCAATAATATATTCATAATGCTTACATATATTCACAATTTCCTTCCTAACGATTCTACATATTTTCGTAACGTTAATCCGAGGTACTTTAGGTGAGTACTTTAATTGATAAATAATCTTATTAAGTTCCAATTCTAACATTTCTACATTGATCAAAAGTAGGTGTCTATTATAATAAGCAGACACTGCTACTTCCTGAATGGTATTTAGATGTTTTTGAATAGAAAGTTGTAAGTTTTCAGCAAATTGATACCAAACTTCTTTAATTCTTGTAGCTATTGGTTTTTCCGTTTTCGATATTTCTTGAATTATAAATAAGGTCTCATTGAATAGGAATTTTTGTAAATTGACTATTTCAAAAAGTGTGTCTAAATAAATTCTGCGGTATATTTTCGATATCGAAATTCCTGTTTGAGAAAGTACATTTTTCGAAGAGACCGTAAATTTATTCGATGGAGTAGCGCTCAAAGAATAAATTTTCGAATCAACGGTTAATTCCCCTTCAGCAACTTGAGATCTATAATAAATAAATAAATAAATGTTGAACGAATATTTTTTTTATTAATTTAAAAGAAGTGAGATTCTTACGATCTTGTGGTGGATGCCTCAAAATCTTTTACATGAGATGGCGATTTGGTGGCGTAAAGTATGTTCGTTAATTCATTATAACATTTTAATAATTCTCCGACATGATCATGCCAAATCTTTTTACTGAAATTTTCAAATCCATGATATTTGTCAACATATTTATAATATGTATGAGGTATAATCTCGGATGTGTCGCTAGGAACTTCATACATTTTTTCGTTAAATCTTGAAACTTCAGTAGGCAAATGACCTAAACCAGATAATAATTTTTTCTTATCTTTCATATTATCCTCAATCGAAATTATTCGTTTAGTAACATGACTTAATTGATTGTCATATTTAATTAGGAATTTTCTGTTTTGTGCGTCCATATTGTATTTGTTAATTATTCTACCATATCTCCTAATATTTTTGATAGGTGTACGACATACTGGACATGTTTTTACATTTGTTGTTGATGCGGGAAGGATTTTAACTGATGACCATTTTCTCTCGAATATGCCTTCGCTTTCATAATAGACTTCCATACCCATGCGCATATCCATGTTTTCCATGGTAAATGCATGTCCACAAGAAAGAACAATCATTCTTTTCTTTTTCCAATTCACCTTACTAAATGAAATACTCTTAAGGGCATCTGATACTGTATTGAAAAAAATCATTTAGAAATTAATAGTAACGATAATAATAAAAATACAACCTATAAAATTTAAAATACCTTGTCTTTTAACATGTTCAGGAGCACAAATCATGCAAAAATCTTTTGAAGGGCATATTTCGCCACAAACACCAGAACAATCATGTCCACATTCCAACTTTTTGTTACATCTTTCATTACAAGGCAACCTATTACAAGGAACTCCACAACTTAATTCACATCTACCTTGATGGTCACATTCCCATGGACATTCTTCCACACACAAAGAACAAGGTTCTATACAACGTTTATCACATGATGCATGTTTGCATGTTGCTGTACATTTAGCACCACATGGTGGACATGCGCTCCCTTCATGACATGATGATTCACATTTATGTCCACAAAATAACAATCTATTACAATATTGTTTACATTTGCCATGCTTTGTTCGTAAAATAGGAACGATTTCACCGTTCAATTTGTTTTCATCTCGTGGTTTAGAAAAACTTTGACATTGAAAACATTGATTTGAACATCTATGTTTACATTCCAAAACAACTCCGCATATCTTTTCACATTTAACGTTTTCAACAGGTAAATAGCACTAAAATAAAAATAAAATTTTATTACTATAAAAATTTAAGTAATTAATAGTTAAGCAAAAACTTACGTCAATGATTTTTGAGTGTTCACAACTGATTAATCGTCTTTGGACTTGGATCAAACATTTAATAACATCTTTATTTTGATTTTGCCAACATGTAGCATCCTTAAACACATGACCACAACCAGGTAAAATAATAGGTCCTATGGGAAATTCACATTGTCCGCAATTTTCATAACAAATCTTTGGACATGGATGATTACATATTGGATGTGATCTTGGGCAAGGTTTAAGACATTTGGTTCCAAGGTGCTGAGGATCATCTGTATGACACATAGAAGTACACGTGTGTCCACAGGGAAGTTTTGCACGACATAACTGAGATGAAATTTAACATAAAATAATATATGATCAGAAAAAATTCAACTATCTATAATTCAACATATGGCTTACCTCGAAGCATCCCCCATTCGGACTAACCAATTCAAATTGTTCGGGTTCGAAAATTACATTCTTGTATTCTGGATGCTTATGACATTCAATTGGCATACCAAAACCAACTTGTGGAGGATTTCGTGTTCGTAATATATTAATTACAGGAGCCCACATATCTTTGGATCTTGTTTCCATCAATTCAGAATTACCAATAAGATACATCCCTTCTCTTGCACGTGATAATAATACATTACTTCGATTCGTGCTTTTTAAGAATCCAATAGTATCTTGCCAATTAGATTTGGAGAAATTACGAACTAAAGAAATGATGACAATGTTCGCTTCTTCACCCTGATAATTATCAATAGTTCTCAAAGTAACTTGTTGGTATAATGTTTTTCTTGAAACAGTCACATCCGCCATATTTAATTCGTCATCATTACCAACTTCTTGTTCTTCCATTTCAGCAAGTTTTTGTTCATCCCTTTCATCCAAGACTACAACAAATAATTCAGATAAAGCTTCTTTGATTCTCATCATTTGTCCCAAATAGGGGGTAAGCACAGCTATATCATCAGGTTTAGTATACCCATTTTTGATAAAATATTTTACGATCTGCACTACCATCTTGACCTCATAAATATTCACATGAGATTGTGCTGAAAAGTCTCCATCAGGAGCAACTTCTGGATGATCGTGGTTAATGAAATATACATTATGTTGTGCACCACGCACTTTTGGATATTTAGCGGTATTTTCAGCATCAATTAAATCTGGATAAAGTGTATATCTTATCAAATCAGAAATTTCATTCTTTCTCATACGTCTCTGAGTTGAAAGTTGAACTTTCTCAATCTTCGTCGCCTTATCACCATTAACTAATCTTTCAAATAATGATTTGTCTAGTTGATAATTTTTTCCTAAAATTGAATCCATACTAAGAGAATAAGTAGCGATATGAGGTCGAAGTTGATTTGGATCTCCGATCAATATTAAATGTTGAGTTTCGGAAGTCAATGCACTAAGGATATGAGCTTCAAGTACTTCGCCAGCTTCCTCACAAATAATAACTTTAGGATTAATATGTTTAATTAAACTTTGAAATTTAGCAGCGCCATTTGTGGTCATACCAATAACATCGCGACTTAATAATGCTTGACGACGTCTTTCGTCATACATGTTATTCCAATCATTACGTCTTTTATCATACATTTTTTGTAACCTTGACAAAGTTTCTATGAATTCCTGATTAACTTTTGTACGCCAATAATCATGAAGAGTATTTCGTTCCATCCTTGACATTTCCCAAATGGAGTCCATATTTAATAAGAATTCCAAAGGACGATCCGTTTCAGGTTCTTCGTAATCCAATATCCATTTTATTGTGTCATGGTCGGTTTCTGATTCATCACCACTCGTGCTCTCTTCATTTTCTTCTGCCTGTAACAATTCGAACTTGTTTCTATTTAAATTTTCCTTTGGTTTCTGATCATTCTGTTGCGGATTCAATAAAATATTCTTTCTCATCTTAATTACTTCAAAATCTTTCCCTCTTACCCATTTCTCAAATATGGGTAAATTTTCAGATTTATTATGAGCAGGTCTAAAATAATTTAAAAATTCTTCTTCACCGCTATAAGTTCCTAAAACCCAACTTGGCAAATCCTCATTAGACACGCGTTCAAATTTTTCATAAAATTTCGTTTCATTTTTCTTTAGATAATTTGATACATCATTCCATTTTAACCAGTTTTTGGAAAATTTGTTGCTAATCTCCTTGACGCGACTTTCGATGTCATTTAATGATTTACGTAATTCATAACCTTTTTTGCCAAAAGAATTATTTTTACAAATCTCTTCAATATTAAATTCCTTAATCCGTTCAGATTTTGTCCGAGAGCCTAACCTAACGATCTTTTTTATGTTTGCGTCAAGTAAATGCTGTGAACAAAAAAATTGAATAATATATGCATTAATACTTTAAAACGACATGTGATAAATTCTCAGATTTGACAGATCAGGGTTGAATTATCACTGTACCTCCAAGAATTGATCAAGCGCGTGATTAGTAAAACAAATGGTGAGAATGGGACCAAGTTTGTTCTTTCGATTTTCTTTTGCCAATAACACTTTCATGATCTCAACCCCAACTACAGTTTTTCCTGTACCAGGTGGACCTTCGATTAATGCAATCTCACGAGTTAAAGCGCCGATCAACGCTTTCGCTAAAATGTGAAAAAAAGAAAAAGATAAAAGTTAATATGATTTTTTTGTAAATATATAATACAAACGCAATTACTGCACCTTGAGTTTCATCCAATCTACTATATTCGTTAATCCTTTTCGCCACTTCATCATAGCCTCTTGTATTGGCAACATTTAATTTTAAATTTTGCTTTTTATCGCATAAAATTGACAAGTCAAATTCAAATTCAGGTGCTCTAGCATACATTGGTGGTTCAACCATAACATTTACAGCACCACCATCACTAGAGTCATCAAAATTTGGAGCAAGATATTTTTCAAATGGGAGGGAAGAAGGATCCATAGATTTAAGTGTATTAAGAATGTGATAATAAGATTCTAAATAAACACCGGTACATTCAACCATAAATCGTTGTTCTAAGGATTTTTCGGTTACTTTATGAGGATTTAAAATCTCATCCAACGCAATAGGATAAATTGATAGATCAACAAAGTTAATACCAATATCAGAATATTCGAGGTTTCTGGCCAAATCTCTTTCATCCCTTGATGCAACCACTCCGAAATATACCGAATACCTATCAGAAATACTTTGGGCATTTGGATTCGGTAATAATAAAGTAACCAAACTTCCTGTTAATAACCTTTTACTTTTTTCCCAAAATGCTTGCCTATCCCGTACATTATTATGTTTATTTCGAATTTTTGGGGGAGTGAATCTCAAAGTGTAAACTAATCCTTTTCTCTTATCAAATGTAATACTAATAAATTGTGGATCGGTGTACACATGTAAACCACCAAATTCCTTTTGAATCCTCCTTAATTCTTTTGAAAATTCACTATTATTAAGAGAAGGTCTCAAATTTCGTGATAATGCTGTTATTAAATTCGACACGCTTCCACGAATGGGATTTAACATGTCTTCCCTTAATAAACGAAATTGTGTATCAAGTAATTTAGCTGCCCCATCAGGTAGAAAATGTGGTGCATCAGGGAGAGAAAATGGTAAAAAAGGAGAACGATCACACAATATCTCCTCCATTGTAGGAATGATTGAAATTTCCGAAATTTCCTCAAAATCGTTATTATGCCTTTTGCCTTTATTTGATAATTTACCAGGAGGATCATAAATTCTTTCCATATCAGCTTTCCTAGCCATTCCTTTATAACGCAATGATGTTAATTTCGAGATTAATTCTTTTTTATTCGGATTTTGTTCATCGATTAAACTAACGCGTCCATTATTTAACAACTTGTTCATGATGTTCATTTCTTTATCTAATATCATGAAAAAAAAATTTCTAGTTTCAAGATTATTGATTAATGGGTCAGTTGAGTTGGTAGACGGTAATTGTTGTTGAATAGATTGTTGATATGTGATCTTTAGATCTTGAAGATCGCGAGCGATCTGGTGCATGGTTTCGTTGATTGATGCTTCTTTGATACGACGTAATAACACAGTAAGTAGCCGTACGATGATCAAGAAGAACGTTCCCAAACTATCAAGATATGAAACATCAATTAGTTTGTTGCGCTAGTGTAAATCTAGGTTTCATTCGTGAGCGTGTACTTACGTAGTTGGGATAAATGAATATCGTTCGTGTCTCAATAATTCTTCCACGCCTACTTGATTGTCAACGAAAGAATTACGTTGCACCAAAGTCCTCAACATTGTCATTACATTATCATGAAGGAAGGAGTCCTACAAATGAAGAAAAATAATCATTAATAACGAGAAAAGGATTGAAGAACATATTTAATAATGATACTTACAAGATTTGTGTAAACGATCATAATGATGGCATGAACGTACTTTTCCAAAATACATTCGGTAATTGAGGTTCTCGTCAATAATCCCAATAAAGGTAATACGACATGTTGAAAGGATAACACATCTTGCTTAAGACCCGCATCGCATGACATTGAAGGAAAATTTATGATTTCTTTCAACAACTTAAGGCCACCATCATGATCACCTAATTCTGATACCAATTCATTTACCTCATAACCAGATTGATAACTTGTTACTACCAATGCTGAACTAATGAAAATTCTAATATTACTTTGATTCAAGGGTCCATTATCTCTCTTTAAAATTTTTTTCCATATGAACTTAATTCGATCTCCATTGGGTATGGTGATTATTCGGTCACTACCCTTGTATGTTAATTCGGTGGAACGAAAATTTTCAATAGTCGCTTCATGTTGCGCCTTTTTTATTTCCTGAATATTAGGTGGTGGAGTTCTTTGAAATTCATCACCTTTTCTGCTGTTAGTTCCACGATGACGATCATTATTACCACGCCTTCTGCTACTGAGTCTAAGATCAGAATTTTGTTTATCCATAATAACAAGCGCTTTTTTATGAAATTAGTTCAGGTAGATTTTACGATTAAAAATCTCAAATTATTTTTTCCAATGAACGATATTTAAATAGCTTTCCTACGATAACGCATAGAATGATTATTAATTTCCATTTTGGATAACAATAACGCAACTTAGCGTGTGAATTATTATTTATGTAATGATCGGATCGGATCATCCGGTATTCAAATGAATGTCAAAATGAGTCTCTGTCATATTACCCATGCACAAAATTCGACTGATGACGATCTGTATTACTGCGCCACCTTATCTTAATTCCAAATAGATAATAGGCCATAGTATGTTCTTTTAATTATTTGACGTGAATTTAACTTTGTTTGTTGAAACTCATGCAGATTTATATCAAGAAGCCAATGATGAAGAAAAGCAAGGTCAATAATCTCTTGGGATTCTCTTTAGTAATATCGCGCTTTTCATGACACAGCTCCTTGTAAAACATTTTATTTCCATTAGTGAGAGCTGTCACACTATTTATTCCAACTTTAATAACGAAATAACTCATTCTAGTATATGATTTATGTACTATATACGTGTATCTCTTTGATTCAGATTCCCTTAACTTGGTTTTTTTTTTTTTTAGAGTGGTAAATTGAGTTATTAAAAGGCGTTATGTTGTTAACCACTTAAGCGATTTTTATCTTTGGCCCTTTTCTTTTATTCCCATAAATAATTTTAGGATTTGTAATTTTAATGAATCAATTTTGATTTTATTTTTTAATTATAGAGAAAAACCTGTTAGTTTTTCTACTAGTGCAGAATGACAGAAAATTAATATAATGAGTTTAAAGAATAGGTTAATTACTTGGAATAAGTTGATATAGGCTTATGATGATTGATTGTTTATACTTACACGACTCGATAAATAACTCTTTATTTCATAATCAATCGTCATATGTTGATTGCTAGGAAAATCAGGTTCCGTGGATTTATGAGTTTAGTTTTTGAATGCATTTAAGCTCTTAATTTTAGTCAAAAATTTCTCGAAACCCGATTTTCCCTGCAATCTTCCCAATATAAAGATTTAGCAAGAAACTTGGTTATATGCGTCAAAAAGTTCTTTGGTCGACGACGACGATGTATGGATTATTTTTTAATATAACTTAAAAACCATACATGTATTAACTGTACTGTTTAAAGTGGTGGAATTAAGTCGTTAGAATTTATATCACATGCTCATAAATCTAAACCGTGTTTTGTAGTATTTCATAATAGGAAACCGATTATATTTTGCATAATGAAATATACCTCATATACAATACCATTGATCGTGTAGTAAAAGCAAAATTATGAACTTTACATGAAGTAATTAAGCATAAAAGTTCTCATAAATTTTCGTAAATATAAATTTATTATAGGAAGGTTCAATTAAATATTCAATAAAACATCAACATACTCAAATACAAATAAGCTAATTCGGGAGGAGAAGCTTGTAGAAAATTGCAATCTTAGTTCTTAAATATATATATGATAAGCATGGTTGACAGATTAATTAATAATATTTGGACTTATTGTTACGAAATTCTGTAATAAATGTCACAATAAAAAAAAGCCCGCTAATTGACATAGCCGCAACAATCAAAATTTTAGAAGCAGTATTATTTTTTTTTTATATGAATTGTAATTTATTTTAATAGAACTCTACATTTTTAGAAGAAGCATGAGTATTGTTCATACAAAATAAAAGACGAAATAATTATTTAATAAAAAAATGTAACGAGCATTAAATAAAGAGTTTTGACTTGTGCGCAGTAAATTATATCATTTAAAAAGAGATTTAAATGTATTAATTCCATCTTAATAAATTTTTTCTTTCTTTGACAAGGAATGAAATTTATTCTAAGGCTCGTATCACAGCCATAACATAGCCCTCATTTAATATAATACTCATCTTACAGCAAGGTAATACTAGTTTGTTTTTATAAACTAGAAAAAATACTTTTGAACTTTTTATAATTCGTATTAGAATTAATTATTTAAACTTAACGTTTCCCAAAAGTAAAAATTATATTAAAACCTTATATTCAACACGTAACATTAAATGAAATTATTTAATCGATTCATCATAAGTAATTAGATTATTTTACAAAATTTCATATTACAAAGAATAATATATGAAGTATAATTGATAATATTGGTTACATTAATGATTTGAATCAGTCTGGTCAAGATTTTGAAATATTATTTGACATCCTTAAACTTTGTTGCATAAAAGGAAAAGATTGCCTAATTTCTAGATATGATGAGCTTTGCACGTCATCAATAAAGAAACTTTTTCAGGTAAAGTATTTATTGACCTAGCATTACTTAGTTCCATATTGAGCGAAATATAATTAATTTATATACATAAATGGGTCAGGTAATTATACTGTATATCACTAAACTTGATAGTCGCTTTTTTTTAAAATATCAAGTCGAATGCGCAAAATATTTCAAATTCCGAGATAAGTAACTTTGAACTTAAGGAAAATTTTATTTTTAATCACCAATCGAATAACTCACGACTAAAAGATTTAAATTAATTAAAAAGAAACAATCATAAATCAGGCTTATTAGACCAAACTCTAGCAGAACTTGTATTTCTATATACTCAGCCTCACGTGCTTAGCGTTTGCATAAATTATAAATAATGCGAAACCTTCCCTAACCTTTAAAATTGCCGCGATTCATCTCACCTCTTAACTTGACGTACAAGTAAGTTATTATTGCAAGAAGTTCTATTTTTAAAACTTGAAAGTTTTTTGATGATTTTATCTTTTTAATTATTTTAGGAAAATAAAATATTTAAATAAACAATAATGTCTCCTAAACGTTACACTCCAATCATCAACATCTTGATTATTCTGGTTATCTTATCAACAACGATTAACTCAAACCTTTTAATTAAACGAGATGATGTGGAATCTTTTATTTGTACAGAAAAAGCGAATCAAAAATGTTGTGCCTTATTAGCGTACAAAATTGCTCATAAACATCATTCACGAGTTGCATCGATTGTTATCATTAATAAGTGTGGTTTTAACATCAACCTCCTTGAAATGAATCTTAATAGTGGTCGTTGGATCACGCAAGATGATCATCAAAATCTCGACATAAGCTGCGAACCACAAACTTTACCTCTCGCAAATGGTCAATCTGAAATATTTTCTAGCATAACAAGTGGTTTTCTCGGCGGGGTGAAAGGTTCTGCCCAATTTTTAATAGATGATAATATTACAAGCACCGAATTTTCTATCTCCTGGGAAGTTCCGTTAATTGGCTCTCCTAAATACGAACTCGAAGGATTGCCTACCAAAAAATACTACAATGAAAGCAAATATGACATCGAAGATACGGTATATAAAGTTACTGTTAATTAAGTTTAATTATTTAGATTTGCCATGAGCGATTTTTGATAAAATTCAAAGATTTAACAGTCGGAATTTCTATGACGACGAATAAAATTAACATGAATTTTTGTAATTTTTTTATTTCACGTTATTTTTTATCGTGGGTTTTGTGCTCGCTCTAAAATAAAGTTTAAAAAAGTTATATAAAGAAAGATCGAATTGTCATGCAGTTGAAATAATGATTTTACGCGATGTAATTTATGGCGCAGCAGCTTTTTTTTTTTTTGAGCTGCCCGTAGAAATCAAAAGCTTTATTATCTTTAATGACGCCCCCCCGTACAAAAGAAAATTGATTTTTATGCAACTTGTTTTTTATGACGTCTGTAGAAATTACTTGTTTTATCTTATGACCAGAATAGATAGATTTTTTTACTTAGTAATACAACAATACAATTGCTTAGTAATACTTATCAATAAAAATCGTATTGTTAACCAACTCCTTTCTTAAGTTCTTTCCTATGTATTTATCTGCACACCAAGCAACTAAGAAACTTGTCTCTCGTCAGACACCTTGCGTCGTTGGTTAAAGCAAGGAATAATTACTGCTAAAACGTCTCCTTCTAGAACTCGTCTTTACAACGTCATAAAATCCGCACCACTGTAGAAATTTAACCTAAACTGTATGTGATTTTGTAGGAAAGTATTCGATATGATCAGATGAATAAAATTTCAATTAATCAATCCATATGGAAGAGAATTTTATTGGAAACAACCAGGTGAAAAATTAAATAGCCGGCACATTTAGCCAATAGTTAAATGTGGAGGTGGTTTACCATGGAAAGGATTTTGATACATATGCCGAGACTAAACAGTAAATTCCATTGAATATATTTGGAATGATTATTTAATCAAATATGGTATCGGTATTCAATTGATATAGAATATAACAAGAGCTTATTAGCAAAATGCCGATCTAAAAAATGTCAAAAAAAAAATACTTTCACATAACAATATAAATTGTACTGTTTAAGCTAAATTGCATCAGTTGATGCGAATTTTTTGATCGCTATGGTATCTTTCTTTTTCCAGAGTTAACTGCATAAAATGTTAATAACATCACAACTAACGCCGCTGCCACCATCACCATCACTAATACTAACACGAAGAAAGGTTTTGTGCTCAATTCTTTATTATAAACAAAATTGGAAACTATAAACAACAGTGATTAAAAGTAATTATTTTCTTCAGTTTAAGGATCGTGTGCGAGTTATTGATAATATCATATTGACGTAATAATTCAACGGGTCACATCTTTATTTGTCTCTCTAGATTCTCTCTAGGTATAACTAACCATTTTATTTGTTTTAAGTTATTTAATTTTGACAAATAGTCGAGATCATGAATTGGTTATGTTGATGAATAATGTAATATTCATAAAATTGCAACATCTTAATAAATTGACGGATAGTGGTGTAATTTTAACGATGAATTTTAAATCGACATTTAGCGGATAATTATAGAAAATAAAATGTATTTATAATCTGACTAATATTTTAAAAGATTACATAATTGTCTAATTAAAATGTATTATTAAATAGTATTCTTATTAACAAAATTCTGAATTCGAATCCGACCAGGATATATTAATGAAATTACAGGGTAAAGTTTTGATGGTAGATCATTCCATTCCGATACAGCTGGATATTTTACACCATTGACTGTAAACGAACAGGTTCTTTTATTCATATTTAAATGAACAGTAACTTTACTATTATCTGTCGCAAATGGAGGACAATACCTTGTTTATATACTCTAGAATGATAAATGTACCCCGAAGAGCCTAATACCCATCCAGTGCTTTGATATCCTGCAAAATTTTCATAATTAAAATTTTCTGTTGCACACACTCCAGCCCAAGCATACATACAACTTTTTTCTATAATAACATCCCATTCAAAAATACCTTTATTTCCTAATGTCATCCTAGCTCTAACACTTTGGTAATTTTCGCTAGTATCGGATCGTACAACTTTGCCATTATCTTCAATAATAAGTCCGGATCCACTCGCTGACTCATCCAAAATATAATAATCAATTTTAGATGCAGGTAAAAATCCACGAACTTCATTAGAACCTGTATCATTTAAAATTGCCTTATGTCGATAAACATTAAAAATCGTTTCAATCGGAATAATGTTTAATGGCTCAATGATATTAGCCAATATTTGACTTGAAATTCGTTTGAAGTCGATGAAATTTATCAAAGGTTCCAATTCTTTAGCAACCTTATGATGATCCGGGATAAGCTCATTATCAATTTGTTTAAAGTTATCCATGAGTTCTAGGGTTGGTAGCCGGTTTAAAAGAGATTTAGTTGCACCATTAGAAATTTGTCTTGAAACTAAAATAGCACAATATCGAAAAACCTCATATTCTGGGGTTACGAATGGTTTTTCTTTTTCATAAGTACGAGATAAAAGGACCCGAAGTGCTGTAGCTGATAACCGACCGAATTCAATAGTATTTAACGGTATAGCTGAAACCGCTTCAATTAATAGGTTAGAAAGAATATTATCTTCTGAGAATGGCATCGTTTCCATAATTTGAGATAACCATTCCGGTGAATAATTATCATTGCAATCCTTTTTCAAGTTATTTTTAACCGTCTTCATAATGAAATCTTGAAGGTCCGGTAGTTGAAAGTATTCCGCAGCAATAAATGCCTCAACGATATTTTCTTTGGTTAAAGATTCCTCTTGAACAACTCCCGTATAAACATATTCCAAAATGATTTCCATCCCTGATGAATTAATCTTTGAAAAAGTAATTTTGTTCTCATAACTTTCTCCGGCTCTGCTATATAGTAACCTTTCAAATACTTCAGATCTTGCAGCTAAAATCGCTCTACAACCATGTAATTTCTTTTCATATTTGCATATAATTTCTATGTCACTATATTTTGGGTTATTGATTAATAATCTCAAATCTTGTTCTAATGAATACCCTCTTGTCATTTTAAATTTTTTTTTTTTTTTTTTTTTTAGAAAGCAGTTTAAATATGGGAAAGATAAATTTCAAGATAAAAAATGTCCATAAAAAGTCATTTAAATCGGAGTTTTGAATTCTTTTGAGATTACAATATTCTACATATGCGACATTCTAAGCCTGATATCTTGTAAAGTTTATTCAAAAAAAAATTCGGAGATACGAGTCAAAATTCAAATGATCGGCACACATTTGTATTCTATTCTGTTACACCTGAACTAAGATTAACGTCATACCAGCATCATGATATTCTTTGAAACAATACACATAGAATTTTATCTATTAGTGATGTAGAGTATTAAAAGGTAGTGATTTATATAATTTCAGATTAAACTTTTCTATTTAGAAATTTTGAATCAAAATTCTATAACCGATCGTATTAATACAAATAAATCTTAGAAATAAATATTTTACATGGTTAATATTCAAATATTATAGATTACTAATCCTTGATGAAATATATCGAAATTTGAACGTCAAGTTTTTCTGTGATGAAATTGTTTATTCTATACTCATAGATATATTTGTCATAATACTTACTTATTTTCTAATGGATGGACTGAATCAACTGTTATTAAAAAATCAATTCCAATGTTTTATTTTTTTTTTATTTTCCATTTGTAAGGTCCTTATAACGTCAAATTACTGCGTCATAAGAATAATAACATTTTCAGCTTCAACATATTTATTATTTTTTATGCATTATTTATTGAAATTAATTTTAAAATATTTCTTTTTTTATTGTTTTTTTTACCATAATTATTACCTTTGGAAAGAATATAAGAAAAAAAAATCAAAAGTTTATTATACTAGCCCCATGTATTTTATTTCTTAATAATATCTATTTTTGTGTCAAACCCTTTAAAGCTCGCAACATTATAAATATACATATTCAGTTTAAGCAAAAATACATTCTTAGACACATTTTAATAAGTATAAATAATCGTATGTATTTTTTTTTATAAAAATGTCTTCAGAATAATCGATAAAAAAAAAAAATAAAGAACTTAAAATTTTTCTCATGACGAAAAATCTGTTTCATTTTTTCACATGATTCTCTAATTATTATAAAATATTTTTCGTAAATGTAAACATTATTATCAATTATACTTTGATTCACAATGTCGGTAATGGAATTACTAGTGATTATAAAATACAAATGATGGGTTTGATTAAAAGCTTTGAAATCATAAATTTAATGATGAATCAGTTAAGATACAATGTTATTACTATGTAAATTTTGTTTAGATAGCATATTATTGGCGATAGTACTTTTGCATCGTTTAATGAAATTAAATAGTATAGTATTTCTCTTCAACTCGTTTTGATGAAATTTTTTTGAATATTAATCAAAGGATTATTAGTTAATTAGCCTTGGAGTACTTTTTAAATTAGATCATTTTTTATGAATAATTATGCTTCTGGTATGTTAAGAAAATAATAATATTTGATTACATCATCATAAGATTACGTTTAACGAATTCAAGATCTATCTGATTATTGAGTAAAGACAAACTTATTAACTTCATATTCATTTGTATTTCCAAATTTTCAAAGGCGATTACATATGTCAGAACAAAACACCTTGAAAAAGTTAAGACTAGTTCGTATATTTCTAAAAATCATTTATTCATTTATGTACTAATAAATTATATTCAAATTAATCTATTACCTAAAACCGATTCCGTTACGGTTCAAACATCTATATTGAAATTGCTTTCCTCAATTTACTTTAGTCTTCCTTATTTATCGTAAATGGCAAATAATTGAACTTAATCATAATGACTTGTTAAGAATTCTAGTAAAATTTATACATATATTCTAATAATCATAGTCGATGAAAATTTGACTACCTAAAAGTCTTCCCTTAAGCTGAATCGATCATCTATTAATATTCTAATGTGCTGTGCTTATTACCAACCTATTTATTAATTAAGGTTGTAGGTGCACTCTTAAATTGAAACCATCTAATCATTGAAACTATC